TAATCCAAGTCTGGAGAATGAGCCTTCACAGCAACGCAACTACAGTGATCCTCAAGAGGCACTGCCCAGCCCAAACTGTAGGAGAAAATGGATGAAGAACTATCCTTCCTTTTGCTCAACTTTCAGCTCTTCTCCCCTAAGAACCTGGATAATTTCATATCCTTTTTCTCATCCCTGTTCTGTGTTTCCTGTCCGACTGCAGACAACATAGGGTCAGCTGGCATGTTTTGAAATTGCTTTGACCACATTACATTTTGGAATGCATGAAATAAACAGGCCTCAAGTGCCTCAAAATAACAGAAGAAAAATTTCATTATGCTGATATGCAGTTTATCAAGTGTTTTTAAAAAAAGAAAAATTGTTTTCAGTAAACACTCCAAGACAATCTGTGATGCATTCAGAAGGGAAGAATGAGGTTAATTGCAAAATATTATTTCACAGAGTGGAAGGATTTCTGTAGTTATTTTGGTGAGTGCCATGGTATTCACTGGGATCAATCCCTAATAGGTATTAGATGTCTTGGACCCTGCAAAGTTGTCAGATGCAACTACCCTAAAAGGAATAAATTAATTTGCAACAGAGTTGTACAGGAAACTTGCACTGTGCAGGTAACCACTCAGCTCTAAGGCAGACTGACCTTTTCTGGTGACCACATGGTGAAGCTGTAGAAGCTGCTGAGGGCTCTCCATCACAGCATGCCTGGAGTCACCTCGCACCTGCTGTGGCTCAGTGCAGTAACAAACCCCATCCTGCAACCCCAAATCCCATCCCACAGCCCTACACAATAAGCTACAGCTCCATCCCAGCCTGGCACTCAACCCTCTGAAATTTCCATTCCTTTCAGTTTCATTTGGGTGAAGCCACTATTTCTAGGGTTTGTTTGGGTCGTTCACAGCTACCTATAATCTATTCAGATTATTAGAAGATGAGGAGAAATGGTACAAAGAAAGAAATTAAGGTTTCAATTATTTCATGTCAAGTTCTGTCAAGTAAATGGAGTTACTTAATTACACTTTTGCAGCAATCATGCCTCTTTACTAGCTTTATTAGTCGCATGGCTATCTAAACCAAATTCTCCCTTATTTTGTTAATTTATCATGAAACTGAAGTACAAAATTACACCTATCTGAAAAAAATCAAACTTTCAAATAGTTTTAAGCAATTCCTCTGTAAAAAATTGAAAACCTGGAAGAACCATCATGATCCTGGGACCTGACCACCTGCAGGTCACACACAATAGAACTTCCGCATGTGATCCCACAGTATGTGCCCGAACACAAGCACACTATCTTCAAATGCACTGTCCTACAAGAAAGCACCTGCTAGTCTGTGAGTCCTGGTGGCTGCCATTTAAAGCATTTTTTGGAGTTAAAGTCGGCTGCTAATTACAGCCTTCTGTAATAATCTAGTGTGACACAGAATGCAAGGGATAATTACACATGCATCGATCATTATTGGCATTCCCCATTTTGAACATAGTTTTCCTTCTGTTTATTCTTGACCTGAAATTAAAAGAACAGAGTTTGGTGTTTGGTTGTGGGTTTTTTTCATGAGATGGGGTAGTTATTCAAGCAAGATTTCAAGACTTTTTTTTTTTTTTAATTAAATTAAATCACACTTTTGTTTCTGATGACTAACAGATGTGAGGAGATCAGAATAAAACCAAACTATCAACTGATTTTCAAAAAGACACCTTATTCTGCTGTTTCTTTCAGGAGTGCTTTGTGCTGAGCAGCAAGCACTAGAGCACTGCTGCTATCTACAGGTCTGCTCTGCACAGTGCTCAAACCAGACGTGAAAATGGGGATGCTCACATGTGGGAACGAGACCAAAACCCTGACATTAAAAAGTACATTGGCTTTTGAGAGATGCAAGCTGGCAACATTTCTGTCCCGTGGCTAACATATGTTAGAAAACCAAAATTAAGCAGACTTCATTAAAGAGAAGGCTGATCTGTTCTGCACAAAAGTACAATTTCGGATTTTTTAATTATTTTTTTTTCTGTGAAAGAAGAGGAAATGTTGCACTCCCAGGTACAGAGTAAGAGGAAGTGTCTACTCCCAGATAGGATCCCTCTCTCACCACAACACACTGGCACACAAAACACAATGGGGCACAGAAGGGTTGGAAACCACCTTTGAGCCTGAAATGCTGAATTTTTAAGATGATTTGTGACGTAATTAGAATTCACTAAAATTTAGTTGTGGTTCTTTACTTATTGTTCCTTTCCCTGCTTTTTCCTTGGTAACCCAGAAATTGTGATAACTGCTTTCTGCATCATTCAAGAATACAGAAAAATAAGATAACCTGGAACGGGTTCAGCACTGCTGAAAACAAACAAAGCTGCTTTCAGAACAGGAGAACTATAATACATAAATTTACCCTGCAAATACAAGCTGGAGATGTCAAAAGCACCTATTTAACCTAAGGTTGTTGATTTCAGGATCAGGTTACCAAAGACAGTATCAGATCACAAGCTTTTGATAAGCAGCAGCAGAAGGGAAAAACTCAGAAAGAGGTGGGGTTTTTTTTCCCTAATAAAAATAAAATAAAATTTCCTAGTAAGAGAAAAAAACAGCTTCTTTGTGAAATCTGTACCTGTTTGGCTGTGGGGATGAACAGTCAAGTACAGAAGCAGAGTACTTTGCAGACAGGGAAAGCACTATTAGAAGCTCAAACAGCAGGACTGTCTGATCTGACGTACGGAAACTCTGTGAAGCTTTTCTCATTTGGAAGGCTAGAAAAGCTCTTCCAAAATAAATTCCCCAAGACCACCGGAAGCAACAGGCTTTTGATGAGCCTGTTCCAAATGACTCTTAGCTGCACACGGAGTGTACTGTTCATATGACTTCTTGTGAGAAAATAAGTAGCTGTTCCAGCCTCTTTAAAAATCAGTTTTTCTGGAAACAACTTATTTTAACTACTGGATATCTGCTGAAAACTTCAGTATGAGAGACTGGAAAACAAGATTCTGCCATCTATTTTTTTTTTTTTTTACATTGGAGTTCTGTCTTTTTGTGAAACAGGTTTAGCAAAGAATTTGCCAGAGCTATAAGAATTACTGCCTATGAAGTATTGGGGAACACAACCTCTATTAGGCAGCAGATAGTTTAAGCATTTGGAAGGACAGACACCAGCTAACAGTCAGAAATTTCTCAGCCACAGAGCTCAGACCTCATTTGATGCAACTTCATTCCCTGTTTAGTATTATCTTTTCAGCAACTGTTTACATTACATCCCTATTACTGAGAGACAGTACAATCTCTTCAGTCTGTGTGGAGGGGGATGGTGATCCCCACAGAAATCAGCCAGTTGGGGTGCCAGTGTTGTGGCAAGGCAGGCCTGAGGCAGGCAGCTTCTGACGTGAGCCATCCCCAGTGATAGCATCTCAGCCTGGAGGGGAAAGCTACAAACACCACAGGACTCTTAAGGGTTGGGTGCATACAGTAATTAACACCCAGCAGTCCCAGGATAAACACATATTTCACCTTAATCCAGAAACCTCAACAGATTTCCTTACAGAATACTTTGGCAGACACAGAAAGAGGTCAAGAGCATCCATTACCAGAGAAATATGAATGTACATGAAACACTAAGTGTATGAAATTCTGCAATATACAGATTAAAGTAATCAGAAATATTAATTATGCTGAGAAACATAGAATCATATAATGGTTTGGGTTGGAAGGGGCCTCAAAGCCATGGGCTTGGACACCTTCCACTAGGCCAGGCTGCTCACAGCCACATCCAGCCTGTCCTGGAACTTCCATATCCACAAGGCATCCACAACCTCCCTGGGCAACCTGTGCCCGTCTCACCACCCTCACCCCAAATAATTTCTTCTTAATATCTAACCTAAATCTCCCCTTTACCAGTTTTAAGCCATTACCCCTCACCCTATCACTACAAACCCTTGTAAAAGGCCCCTCTCCCCAGCTTTCCCGCAGGCCCCTTCAGGTACCAGGCGGCCTCTGTAGGGTCTCCCTGGAGGCTTCTCTTCCCCAGGCTGAACAACCCCAGCCCTCTCAGCCTGTCTCCACAGGAGAGCTGCTCCAGCCCTCTGACCACCTCCATAGCGCTGCTCTAGGCTCGCTCCAAGGGGTCCACGTCTTCCCCGTGCTGGGAAGAGCTCAAGAGCTGAACGTGCTACTCCAGGTGGGTTCCCACAGAGTAAAGGAGAGGGGGGCAATAAAGTACTTCCAGCAGGGGAGGCACACGGCGCACACTGGGCACTTACTGCCAGCCAGCCCGCTGGGGG